CAACCCGACTGCTGAGCAATTTCATTGAGTGCCCACAAGTTCTTGTATTGTGAGAAAGGGAGAAAAGTACCTCTTTCTCGACCTGCTCTATCCCATGCATAATCTTATAAGCCTTGATCACGTCACCTCTCAGCTATCGTTTCTCCAAGCTAAAGAGCCCCAAGCTTTTTAACCTTTCTTCATGGGGAAAGTGTTCCAACCCTTTTCTCATTCTAGTTGCCCTTTTCTGCACTTTTTCCAATGCTATAATATCCTTTCTGAGGTGTGGTGACCAATGTTCCCTCTAAGCTGTGGAGTGTTGTGAGCAAAAATTCTACTTTGTGAGTGACTGGCATGAAAGTTGTGAGGGAGCGATTTGGCTGCTGCATAAATTAGTCTGCTCTGGAGCCATCCTTCCCGAGCTAAGACAAAAATGTGTGAGCCGGAGGCTAAAAAACTCTGAGCTAGCTCACACTAACTCAGCTTAGAGGGAACAGTGGTGGTGACCAGAACTGTACACGGTATTCCAAATGAGGTCACACCATTGATTTATACAGGAGCATTATGATACTGGCTGATCTGTTTTCAGTTCCCTTCCTAATAATCCCCAGCACAGCGTTGGCCTTTCTTATTGCCGTCTGTTTTAAATTTTGTATGGTTTTAGGAATGTTGTGACCCTCCCTGAGCCTGCTTGTGGGGGAGGGTGGGATGAAAAGCAGAAATAAATAAATAAATAAAATAACCTGCTGTGGTACAATAAAAATAAAGTGTTAATTTTCTGAATATTTCTAACTTTTCCTGTTCATCCAACACAAATAATAGGTTAAATGAGACCCCAAGGTAATAATCTGTAGGAAGGCCTGGCTTGTCCTTCGAAACAACAAAGTAGGCCGGGTCCACTCTGAATTCAGCCCCTGCCCCTATAGCTAAAGACCCCGTCACAGTGACCAAGTTATTCAGGGTATAAAACATTTGAGAGTCCAAAGCTCCTTTCATCAAAAGGAGGAAACAGTAGCTTTGTAGGGATGATTCTACAGCATGATACCCCACTGAGATCCCTCCTTAAAGCTGTCCTCCCCAGGCTCCACCCCCAAATCCTGCTGCTCCTGTCAAGGTGACCCAAGGAGACAATAGGGTCTGGTCGGGCCTTGTAAAGTTGCTGACCTTCTCCTTCTCCTTCTCCCTTTAGGGATCAGTGACCTTTGAGGAAGTGGCTGTGCGCTTCACAGAGGGAGAGTGGGGTCTGCTGGATCCAGGCCAGAGAGCACTCTACAGAGAAGTCATGGTGGAGAACTATGGGAACGTGGCCTCACTGGGTAAGCACCTCTTTGCTCTTCCATGACAGAGCCTATGAAATCTGGTGCTGGTTGGAACTTGGAATGATTGTTCCAACGTACTGCATTGTATTAGATTAATTTTGTTCAGTTACATTTAGGGATGCCAGACACCTGGGTGTGGGCGGGAGTCCCCCGGTTTCGGGCACTCCTCTCTGCCCCCCCAGTTACCCCCCCAGCCCCTGGACAGGCTACTCAAAGGCAGGGAAAGCTGTTGTATCTTCCAATAGCCTGTGTGCAAACCGATTTATGCATTTATTCATCAAATTTATCCCCTGCTCCATCTCCCCTGAACGATCACTGTCAAGGATACGTGAATGGTGAAGACACAGTGGAAGCATACCAGCTGCCTGGTGGATCCAAATCATCCAGAGGCTGCATGAAAAAGAGCAGCCTTGCATGCCCTGTGGTACCTGGGGAGGTACCGCAAGGCACACACCTCCTCGGGCAGCTGGTACCCCAGGACAGAGGCCACCACTGAGAAGGCCCTCACCAGGCGTCATTTTATAGAAAAAGAGGTTCAGGAGCTCATTTGCATATGCCAGACCCTCTGACAAAGGAGAGGCATGCAAGCATGCCTGGGTTCCCTGCCTGATCTTAGCAAGATCGGGCATGGAACCGAGGCATGTTTAAAATGCCTTCTTTCCCTGAGTTTCTCCACCAAAGTGGAGAGGCTCAGGGAAAAAAGGGGGCCTGTCTGCCTGCCTCCCCTTCCCCTCCCCAGCCAACCCGCTGCGGTGGGCTGGGTGGAGCATTACATGGAGTTTATTTTCTTGTTGTTACTGTTAGGGTTGCCAACTCCCTGGATTTAAGAAGAAAATGCCCAGGCCATAAGAACCTAAGAGAAGCCATGTTGGTTACTGCCAGAGCACTGCTCCCGTGCTCCAGCAGGAAATGACCCCTGTCCGTCACCCTTGTTGACACAAAGTGGGCAGCAGGGAAGAGCAAGAGTCTAGGAGCACCTTAAAGACTAACAAAACATGTGGCAGGGTAGGAGCTTTTGTAAGTCACTGTTCACTTCCTCAGATACCTGAACAGTTTCTGGGCCAGGGACCTTCAGTAGACATCGAGGTAAACGTGCTCCAGCAGGAAATGACCCCTGTCCCTCACCCTTGTTGACACAAAGTGGACAGCAGGGAAGAGCAAGAGTCTAGGAGCACCTTAAAGACTAACAAAACATGTGGCAGGGTAGGAGCTTTTGTAAGTCACTGTTCACTTCTTCAGATACCTGAACAGTTTGTGGACCAGGGACCTTCAGTAGACATCGAGGTAAAGTTCAGAGAAGGCGGGGGAGGATCATGCCGGGAGATCTGTATTTTATCCCTTGAAATAGCCCTGGGGGGACTAAGCCCTTGTCCCTTCGAGGAATTTTGCCTCCTGAGAGTTGGAAACCGAGCTCAGAAATAGACTGGCTTTCTCTCCCTGAACATTTTTCCGCACGGGAAAGAGCCGGAAATAATTGGTCTCGTTTCCTTCCTTAGAGGGACCCCCAGTGGCCAAACCTGACCTCATCTCGTGGCTGGAAGAAAAAGAAGAGGTCTTTGACCAAAACTCTATAGAAGGGGAGAGACCAGCAGGTATGTTTTTATTCACTCGTTCATTCCCTCGCTCCTCTCTCCATCAGGGATCCAAAGCCACTTACATCGTTCTTAACCTCCTCCATTTCATCCTGACGACAACAACCCTGCGAGGTAGGTTAGGCTGAGAGTGCGTGAGACTGGCCTAAAGTTACAGGACCCAGCAGTGCTGCTGGGAAGGAGTCTAGGGCAGTAGCGTCCTCAAGGGTTTTCTTTTTTAAACAGGTCTCGCCCCAGGAAGAGACTCAGAACAGGGCGAGGAGAGGGTTGCCTTCCCCCTGATCTAGGGTTGCCAGCCTCCAGGTGGGGGCTGGAGGTCTCCCAGCTGATCTCCAGGCTGCACAGATCGCCTAGTTATTTAAAGCATTTATTCCACTTCTCCTGGAGAAAACAGCTGCTTTGTTAGGTGGACTGTATGGTATTATACCCCACCAAGGTCCCTCCCCTCCCTAAACTCGACCCTCAAATCTCCGGGTATTTCTGAACTCAGAGCTGGAAACCAGATCCCGATCCTCCTCTCCTTTGGCTTCAAAGGCATGGCCTGACCGTTTCTCCTCAGCCCTCCCTGGGCTGGCCTGATAAAGGATTGTCTGGGGGGGGGGCGGGCTGACTGGGCTCCCCCAATGCCCTCTCTTCCGGGGCAGGCCCATGGTGAGTGAATGGAATCTGAGCCAATGGCCTCCTTGCCCGGGTTGACCCTTCTGTTGCCCTGCCCTGCCTTGAGGTTTTAAGAGACTGCTGTACCTGCCCGTCCGTATCCCAGGAGGTCCTAGCTGGCCTGACGTAGCCTGTTCCCTGAGCCTGCCAGGCCCTGACACTGTTGCGGGGACATTCCTGGGTGTGGCCTCACCCTTGTTCCCAGCAGTGCGTCTCTTCTGGAGCAGGTGACCATGAGGGAGGCACCCTTTCATAGGCTCCTCCCTCCATCGCCCAGTTAGCATCCGTGGCTAAGGGCCAAACTTAGGGTTGCCAGGCCCCACCTCCCCACTGCTGATCAGCTGGACTCACCCAGAAAAAGAGGGAGATATATCGTCACTGCCCGTGTGATCCAGAAGTGACATCATCACTTCTGGGACAATGAGGTGACACTCTGGTATTTGGTCAGAAATTCTGTGGTAGAAGCCAACTATCATAGAGTTTTTGCCCAAATACCAGAGTGTCATCCCGGCATCCCGGAAGTGATGATGTCACTTCCGGTCGTGTGGGCAGTGATGTAGGCATGTCTCTGTACAATGACTGGGTGGGCCTCCCTCCTGCTCCCATTAAGTCCCCCCACCTCATCCCCCGCTGGTTGCCAGGAGGGACCTAGCAACCCTAGCCAAACTACACACATGAGAGGCAGTGGGGTGTATTGGTTAGAGTGTCAGATTAGGATCTGGGAGACACAAGTTTGAATCCCCAGTCTGTCTTGGAAGCTTGCTGGGTGACCTTGGGCTAGTCACACGCTCTCAGCCTCCCCTACCTCATAGGTTGTTGTAGGAACAAAATGAGAGAGAATGGGACCTTATTCGGGAAGACAGGTGGAGTATAAATAGAGGGAAAATGATATTAAAAAATTTAATATTGGGTCTTGGATTACCAACTTCCAGGTGTGGCCTGGAGTTCTCCCAGCATTTTAACTGATCTGTAGACTACAGAGATCTTTTCCCTGGAGAAAATGGCTGCTTTAGAGGGTGAATTGATGAGCTCCCTTCCCTCCTCAGACTCCGCCCTTTCCAGGCTCTGCCAATCCAGACCCAGCAACTGGGGCTGCCACCTCCAGGGGGTGGCTGGAGATCTCCTGAGATTACAGCTGATCTCCAGGCGACAGAGATCTGTTCACGTGGAGAAGATGGCTGCCTTGAAAGATGAATTCTGTGTAGGGTTGCCAGCCTCCAGGTGGTGCCTGGAGATCCCCTGCTTTTACAACTGATCTCCAGCTGACAGAGATCAGCTCCCCTGCAGAAAATGGCTGCTTTGAAGGGTGGGCTCCGTGGCACTGGGCCATCCTGAGGCCCCTCCCCTCCCCAAACCCCACCCTCTCCCGGATTTCCCCCCCCCCCAGCCTCCAGGTATTTTCCAAACCAGACCTGCGGACCCTACAAACCCGGCCCTCCTCCGGCTCCAACCCCCAAATCCCCAGGTATTTCCCAATCCAGAACTGGTAACCCCAGAGCTATTTTTGGGCAGGAACGCACAGGAACGGAGTTCCGGCTGGCTCCCAAGTTGGCCACGCCCAGCAGGAACTCATTAGCATAATAAGCCACACCCAACAGCAGAAACGCATTAGGATTGGCTACATTAGGGGTGTGTGGCCTAACATGCAAAGGAGTTCCTGCTACAAAAAAGGCCCTGGGTTTTGACCACAAACAAGGCCAACAGAATAAGAAGCAAAAGGTGGGCGTGGCTGGATGACCACACTTCTGGTAACAGGGGGTGTGGCCTAATATGCTAATGAGCTGTGCTGTCAGGGGTGTGGCCTAATATGCTAATGAGTTTCTGCTATTGGGTGTGGCCTATTATGCTAATGAGTTCCTGCTGGGCTTTTTCTACAAAAAAAGCCCTGGGTAACCCTACCGACAACCCTAGCTGGTGAAATTCTTGGATACATGGGGCGGAGCCTGGGGAAAGCAGGGTTTGGGGAGGGGAGGGACCTCAGCAGGGTACAATGACACAGAGTCCGCCCTCCAAAGCAGCTACTTTCCCCAAGGGAGCTGATCTCTCTGGCATGGAGATCCGTTGTAATTCTGGGAGACCTGAAGGTTAGCAACCGCCAAGTGGTTAAGATGCTGAACTGCAGGCTGTGGAAGGTCGGTAGTTCAGCAGTTCAAGACCCGAGTGTGCCGCATGACGGAGTGAGCTCCCGTCTCTAGTTCCAGCTCCTGCCAACCTAGCAGTTCAAAGGCAAGAACTTGCAAGTAGATAAATAGGTACCACTTCGGTGGGAAGGTGACAGCGTTCCGTGCGCCTTGGTGTTTAGTCATGCCGGCCACATGACCACGGAAAACGTCTTCGGACAGCGCTGGCTCTTCGGCTTTGAAACGGAGATGAGCACCGCAACCCTAGAGTCGGACTCGACTGGCTTTCGAGCAAGGGAAACCTTTACCTTTTACTAATACTATTTCACCTAATTTGTATTGTACTATCGGTTTGCCATCCTTGTAGCTTCACTACAGAATGAAGAGACGAATATTGAAACCGATACCCATCCATAATATCACACAGCTTCTGGGAAGGGATTTGTTCTGAGGCTCTGTTCTTTCCCCCTGGCATTCTTACCAGGCTGTGTCCCGACCGGTGGGGCGCGGGACGGCGAAGGAGACGCGGGACCCCCTGAGCCATTGTCTGACAGAAGTGGAAGAGAAGAGGTGGAGAACTTGGGGAACCAGAGTGAGACGACGATGCAGGAGGAAAGCCAGCTGACCGAGATGTGGAGGAAGAAACCAAATGGTACCTCCTTAGATCCATGGTGGGCCCGTTTGGGGCTTGAGCGCTGTGGGATTTCTTGAGCGAGCCTGTTGTCTGTCGATGGGGCAGGTCACGTCTCTTTCCTAGAACTTGGGTCGCCAACTTTGGGTTGGGAAATCCTTGAAGATTCGGCAGTGGAGCCCGGGGGGGGGGAAGGCAGGGCTGGAGGGAGGGTTGCCAACCTCCAGGTGGTGGCTGGAGATCTCCTACTGTTACAACTGATCTCCAGGCAACAGAGCACAGTTCACCTGGAGAAAACGGCCGCTTTGGAAGGTGGATTCTATGGCACTATACTCCACTGAAGACTATCCCCTTTCCAAACTCAGCTGTCCTCAGGCTCGACCCCCCCCAATCTCCAGGTATTCCCCAACCTGGAGCTGGCAAGCCTAGAGGGAGGTCATAGGGCTGCCAAGTCCCCTCGGGGGGCAGAAATCCCCCCGCCCCGGAGGCCCGTTCCCGGACGCCGGGGAATCGGGCCCCGGGGGGAACCCTGCCCCAGCGTGCACGTCACAGGGAAGGGACGTCATGACGCCGGGCACGCCGGATATGATTCCTTAGGGTCCGCAGTCCAAAGCAGCCATTTTCTCCAGGGGAACATCTCTGTCATGTGCAGTGAGGAGATAATTTGTAATCGTATCGGTTCACCAAGGAACACATCCCCCCATTCCCATCTTCCCTTCTGAGAGTTCCTGTCTTGTATCAGATGCGGCCTGCTCAGTATCGGCACCTAGAGGGTAGAACTGAGGGAAGTGGGCTTTCTCTCCGAGGGACTAACTAAACCTGCCTTTTCCATAGGGGTTTTGAGAAGGTGAATAAATATTTTTGTTTATAAATCTGGTGGTGTTCTGTGCTGCAGATTTTAAATATCTGTACATATATATATATATATATATATATATTTCCTCCTGTGGCTTTTCCGCACAGCGTGTTCAAAGCTTTTTTAAATGTAATTTTTTAATTTCATTTTTGTTAGCTGCATCCTTAAAAGAAAAAAATAAACTCAGTCCAATCAACAGCTAACCGGTAGATGGAACAATAACAAATGCAGATAAATTCAATCAATAGCCAGGTCAACAGAAAACTATATCCCAGTAGTACAAAGTCTTGGCCTGGCAGTCAAAATATAATAGAGAATATGTTGAGTGACCTTGGTTTGGCAGTATGTTTATAATCAGGGTGCCACTACCAAAAAGGCCTTTCTGCGATAGCTGTTTGCCTAATTTCAGAACGTGGGCCTCATACAGAGAACTGACTCGGATGATGATAACAACCACATAAGTTAATGTGGGAGTATCCTGATTTCAAATGGCTTAGTATTCGAAATGTAATAACCAACACTTTGAATTATGCCCAGAAACAAACAGGATACTTGTCAGATTCTTTGAACATGTGTTTATACTCGTTTTAGTGTAGCTGGTTTTTCTTTTTGACATAAGCTACCTTATAGATTTAGGGCTGCCAGGGTATGCCTGGCAATGGGCAGGAATTTTAGCTGGGAAGAAGAAGAAGGAGGAGGAGGAGGAGGAGAAGGAGGAGGAGAAGAAGATTGGATTTATACCCCGCCCTTCACTCCGAGTCTCAGAGTGGCTTACAAACTCCTTTCCCTTCCCCTCCCCACAACAGACAGATTAGAGTCTGCGCATGTAAGCATTACACCAAACATGGGGGGATGATGTCACTTTCAGGAAAACCGAGAAGTGGTGTCATGTTTTACCACAGTGTTTCTGACAATTCCTAGAGCTACCTGATGCCACTTCCAGGTTTTCCCTGGAAGTGACACTGCAGCTCAGATGATGCTGATGGGGGCCTGGCAGCCCCGAATAGATCATTTGATAGAGAGGTATTAGGATAATAAAGATATTTCTGCCAAAAGGTTTCTTTTCAAGGTTCTCTTTCTCTCTGTCTCCCAAAGATGATGACATTGTGACAGGGATCGGGGAAGAGAATTTTCAACAGGAAGGCCTCCTATTGGAAGAATCACTAGAGCCTTTACCAGGAGGGTCCCAGGAGACAGTTTCCTTCCCAGCCAAAGCTGCGGAGAGTAAGTACCCGTTACAAAAGAGGGAGAAAGTCAGGGCAAATCGCTGAGAGAAGTCTTGTTGGCTGTTTCCAGTGGGTAGCCATGTTAGTTTGTAGTAGTAGAACAAGATTCAGGTGCAGTAGCACCTTAAAGACCAACACAGTTCCCCAGGATCTAGAGCCCAAAGTCACTTTGTTAGATATAACATAAGCAGGTACGAGATTTTTGTATCTGACAAAGTGGGCATTGTCTCACAAAAGCTCATACCCTGAAAAAATTGTCTTGGTCTTTAAGGTGCTACTGGACTTGGGCTTGGTTGTCTGTCACCCTTTTATCCCAACCGTCCTCCAAGGACCTTTATCCAGGGTTCTCCCATCCTTCACCTCATCTTCACAACAACCCTGTGAGGTGGGTTAGGATGAGAACGACTAACCTGAGGTCACCCAGTGAGCTTCACTTCATGGTAGTAAGGGAGATGTGAAGCTTGGGTCTTCCCCAGTTCTAGTTCAACATTCTCAGCACTACCACTACACTGATTCTCAAGGACCGAATGTTACAGTAAGACTCCCTCCACATAGAAAACTAGGGAAGGGGTTAAGCTAGAGCTCTTTACCCCTGAAATGCTAGTTTTCTATGTTCAGGAGCTTTTTTTAAAAAAAAAATGTAGTCCACCTCCACTGGGTTATCCTCCACTTTATATCCCGCCTTTCTCCCCAATGGGAATCTGATATCGGTCTCCCCTACACTTTATCTTCACAACAGCTCTGTGAGGTAGGTTAGTCTAAAAGTATATGACTAGCCCAAGGTCACCCAGCCAGCTTGCAGAGTGAGTTTCCCAGGTTCTAGTCCACTCCACCACTATAGCTCTATGACAAGTTCAAGGGGCTGTGGCTCAGTGGTAGAGCATCTGCTTGGCATGCTGAAGGTCCCAGGCTCAAGTCCCCGGTATCTCCAGTTAAAAGATCTGGCAGTAAGTGATGGGAAAGACCTCTGCCTGAGACCTTGGAGAGCAGCTGCCAGTCTGAGTAGACAATACTAACTGAGATGGACCAAGGGTCTGGTTCAATATAAGGCAGTTTCATGTGTTCTCAAGGGATTAGTAGAGATTTTTCAGCTCCTTCTGTCTTTGGTGTTCTCTCCAATTTTGCATCTCGATATCTCATCCTGCACTCTTGCTGATTTCTGCCTTTTTTCCCACCAGCTGATGATGGGGAGAGCGAGAGTGAGTGGGAACCCGGAGAGATGTTGTCTGAAGAAACGGAGGACGAAGATGCAGACGAGAACTACGGGAGTCGGAATGGGCCGGAGAGACAGGAGGAAGACCCAGCAGGGATGTGGACAAACAGATCCCCTGATAGCCAGGGTAACGACTTCCGCGGAACGCCGGCTCAGCAGAAGACGTACAAAGGAAAGAGAAAGAACCAGTGCAAAGTTTGTGGGAAGAGCTTCACTCGTAAGTCGAGCCTTAAGGTGCACCAGAGAATCCACACGGGGGAAAAGCCGTACAAATGCACCGTCTGCAGCAAGGGCTTTTGTGATAAGACCAGCTTTCTCCGGCACCAGAGGATCCATACCGGTGAAAAACCGTACAAGTGCCCCGATTGTGGGAAAAGCTTCAATCGGACCACCAACCTTATCACACACCAGAAGACCCACGTGGAGACACGGGAGAAGACCTTCCACTGCTCCAGCTGCAGCAAGAGCTTTTACAACAAGTACAGCCTCAAGACACACTGGCGCAGCCACACCGGCGAGAAGCCCTACAAGTGCTCGAGCTGCAGCAAGAGCTTCTGTGACAAATCCAACCTGGAGGCCCACTGGCGGGTGCACACGGGCGAGAGGCCCTTCGAGTGCTCGGAGTGCGGGAAGACCTTCAGCGACCGCCGGACCCTCCTGCGGCACCAGCGGATCCACACCGGGGAGAAGCCTTACAGGTGCACGGAGTGCGGGAAGAGCTTCAACGATCTCGCCACGCTCCTGCGGCACCAGAAGATCCACACGGGGGAGAAGCCGTACCGGTGCACAGAGTGCGGGAAGAGCTTCAACCAGAGCTCGCACTTGATCCGCCACCAGGCCACGCACGAGCAACGCCAGAAGGGCACCTCGCGCAGGGCCAAGGCGGCGTCGATCGGAACCAATATCGGAACCAACATCTTCTTGGACATTGGCGATTTCTCCCAGGAGGGCTACTACAGGTACACTCGCCCGACAGAAACCTTCCACTGGCCGCTCACGTCGTACTCCCCTTCCACAGATACGGGAGGAGGAGGTGGCATTACGAATGTCTGGACTATCGCGGAGTCTCCCGTCGGAGATCAAGCCATCTTAGTTATGAAAGAACTCCCGGAGGACCGGACCATCACCCTGTGAGCACTCGGTACGCAGGAGGGGGTTTCCTTTCTTTCTTTCAGATGAGACTTCCCCCCGTCGGGCATTACAGTCCGGTCATGAGAGGATTCCGAACGGTGTCTAGATGCTCCTCAAAGTGACCGTGGGTCGAAGATTAAATTTCTCCACCCTCAACGAGGTAGTCTTATACAAATGGATCTGCTCCCAAGGACTGGCACAAATGGAGGGGGAAAAAATACAGATAGAAGAGTCTCTAGGAAGATGCCGTTTTAGTTCCAGTACTGAAAGACGGCATGGAGTCTGTTATATTTCCCTCCTCTGTCTTCTTGGCCGGCATCCATTATCTATATTTATTGGGGCGATCTGCTTCTTGACAGTTCCCGTAGCAATGCATGCCTTGGTAATGGAAACGAGACAGATCAGGGAGCATTGGAGATTATGCAATTTTGAAGGGCCTTCAATGGAAGGTTCAGACTTTCCATTTCACAACACTATTTAGATTGACTGAGATTTGACAGCCTGTGGCGTGGCTTGGAAATCGTCTCCCTGGAAGACCTGACCATGGTACGAGGGCTGTAAAGATCTTTGCCCCCTCTTCCCCCTTTCTCCTTGTAAGATTTTCAGATTGGGTCATATTTGACTTGAGGGAAAAGACAAATTAGAAACGGGTATCTTTGACTTGTTCTGATCAACACCACCTCTGAAAGGGATGTCTAAAAAGGCTTGTCGTTTCTTGGATGACTAGATGAGGAAGTAGACTGTTGAATTTGCCACAGCGTATATCTAAAAAGGTATCAGGAATATATTGGAATGTAGCTTCTCGTATCAGAAGAAATTTGCTTTCAAAAAAATGTGGGTGGAAGGCGTGTGGAAATGTACCAACCAGAATCCCATAAGGGTGTACAGTGCAAGAAATTACTTTTTAAAAAAAGTAAATTCATACAGTTCTTTTAAATCTTATGCTCCAAGCTGTTTAACCACCTGGGCCAAAAATTTCAGACAGGCCTAGGAACCCTTTGAATTCAGGAACAGAGAATGGCTCCCTTTCATAGAACCGGCCTCCAGGTATTCAGTTTTGGGATAAGAGCTACCCCCCATGAAATATATTTCTGAAAACTGAGCATATAGATGTATATGAGAGAGAGAGCGTATGGTATTTCCCAAAGCTTTGGCATGCTTTTTAATACACACAGAAGATTCGTGTTTCAGCCGCAATTCAATAGAGATTAGCTGTAAGGGTGTGATGCTGGAGTTGGGTATGGAAATCTAGGGGTGTCATTTGCCCTTTAAAAAGGCCCCCCGGGGGAGGGGAGAACTGGATTGGGACTGTGATGCTGGGGGGGGGGTTAATATTTCCCTATACAGGCTTAATGTGACGGGGGGGGGAGGCATTTCTAATCAGGGAAACAGTGCAGGCGTGTCTACTCCAAAATATGTCACAGCCGTGTGTATCAAACCATCCATGGACTTCATGGAATGGCACTGTCCCACTTCCCTCTCCCACCACTGCCATCTGAGGACCCCCCCCCCACACACACACCTGAAAATTTTGTTCCTGGAGGAACAAATTTTGTTCCTAAGAACAGTAGCAGAGGCAAAGTGGAGAGGGGTGTCTCGGGCAGGGCTCTTTTTGTAGCAGGAACTCCTTTGCATATTAGGCCACATCCCCCTAATGTAGCCAATCCTCCAAGAGCTTACAGAGCTCTTCTTACAGGAGCTACTGTAAGCTCTTGGAGGATTGGCTACATTAGGGGTGTGTCGCTTAATATGCAAATGAGTACCTGCTACAAAAAGAGCGGACTCTGCAGTGGGAGCAGAGAAGTGGCCAAAATTGCCCAGAGTCCAAAGACTTGACTGCTGTTTTAGTGCTCCATACTGTGTGGTTGGATGCAGAGAAGCAAGTCCAGTGAGACTTCAAGTCAAGCTATATAGGCGATACTGGAGTGTCAGGACTGACTCCCCAGGCTGGTCATTTAATTATTTAAAAAGCCCCCCTCCCCCTCCCCCAAACGGCATGGGTTGGGAAGGGGGATTGTGACTGTTCTTTAGAGTTCAATTAGATGCCTGCAGTTTTGCCTGCAGCTTGACCGTAAATCTCCTTGGAGTCGCCATGGCGTACTTTTGAGTAAGCACACCTGGGCTGAAGCTGTCCAGCGCACTGGTATCGACAGACTTAGTGCTACAATCCCGAACATGTCTATTTGGAAGTAAATTCCACTGACATCTGGGGGATTTGTTGCTGGACAAACGTGGTTAAGGAGCGGACTGTGACTACGCTCAGTTTGGCATTGGATTGTGACATCTGGGAAATATAAATTCAGACTTGGATCACCCATGCTGGAGAATGAGATGGGTAGTAGACTGCAGGCAATGGAGACCGGCATTGAACGTTGCTTTGTAATTTTTTTTAAAAACTCCCCGCAAGCAGAAAAGTAGCATTGAAGGAATAAAGGTTTTAACTACCTCTGTTGGCTTGCGAAGCTGGGTTTTCTACTGACAGAGGGCTTTTGACATGGGGGGAGCACTCCCACCTGTGCTCTACTGCCCACTGTCTGGAACAGTGCAGTCCAGTCTGCCCTCTCTGCCACCTCCTTCTGCATGTGTGAACTGGGCCTCCTGGAGGGTTCTGTACATCCCAAGAATTCTGCGATTGCAAACAGGTCTCAGAGGAACCAACTAGGGGCGTTTTCTACAGAAGAAAAGTCGTAAAAAGAAGAAACAGGCGGGTGTTAACGTGAGCGAGAAGCCAGAATTCATCAAGCTGTGGAGCTGAGTTCTCTTAATTTAACCCTGTGACTGGTGCTCTCTTTTGTAAAAAGCATGGAAACGTGATTATTTTGACACTGCTGCGGAGCGTGGGATGGTTGCCCCTTTGGTGGGGGGCGCTCACTCTCTCCTTCGTTTCTAAGTTCTCGATTTGTAAAATAGGCTAGAGCAAAGCTAATGGGGGGGGCAAGAAGGGAGGGAAATGCATGAGATTTTTTGAACAGTACTAAAGGGCAGAGAAGTGTAAAGAAAGGGTCTCTGGGGTGTGTATTCTCTTCCACAAAAGCCTTATGAGTTAGATTAAGCTTGTGGACATGCAAGATCTTATAACCGTTGAACTTCCTGTAAGTTTAAAACAAAAACTTGCAAATATATGAGGGGCTATAAATGCATGACCATCTGAACTATTTATGAACCATCTCTCACCGAAGGGATATCTAGAGTAGAAGTTGGAGTGGGAGATAGTAGATTTGAAAATGGGATTCTTTTCTTCAAAATGCTGTAAGCTTCCATGGCTGTCATAGTAAATGTTCATGTTTATTTATAGAAGTAACTGGAGAATAGCTCATTTTTTTGTTTGAAGTATTTTGGCATTTTCTTAAAGTGTCCCAATGAATGCTGGAAATGCACATCTCTGTCACGGTTAATGCCAACTTTTCTCCAATTTCATTTTTTTATGTTCTGAAGAAACTTGGTTAACTTGGTTAATCTTGAGATTTACCAGAACATAACTGGAAATGATGGGATTTGTGAAGCTTGATCTGTAAACAAATCAGTAGCAAACGACGATGGAAACAATGATGAAATGATGAAATTCAATCATTTACTGAAGGCTCTGGATGATCTTGAGACTTACCGGCCAATGTCAGAATTTTATCAAATTACCATGATGTTTCCCTCATAGCTTCTGAGGATCATCCCAAAACATCAGTGACTTTCTGACTTTTGACTGTTAACGCAATACATTCTGTATCATCTTTTATTTTGGGTCTTTTTTATAATAGTATTTTTAATCATCCTTGCTTAGTTCATATTGTTAACTGCTTATATCCTTTTGAAACCTCATTTTAATGCCATTTCACTTACACTGTTTGAATATGCCTGTTGTGCAGTAAAGAGCATCTGCCTAGAATACGCTATGCGATATGAGTGGAGGCAAGCAAAATCCGATGAGAAGGAGGGGAAACTTGCCATGTTGCCTTGGATAAATTAGGGGTGGGAGGTCTGGAAGACTGAAAATTGAACTTGCTGCAACACTTCAAAGACAGGCGAATGAACAACTTTAAAGGCCTTGGCCTATGGCTTTGTCAGCAATTGGCAAATTACTCTTCACTCGTACAGCCCCCCCCTCTTTTCCCGCACGGTATCGCAACCCAATGGAGACGGCCATCTCTAAATTGGCCCCTTTGTGTCCTGCTCAGCCCTCACGCTGCGGGGGAGTTTTGTGTGTACGTCTTTTTACATAGCTGTGTGTCCCAAGTGACTGACTTTTGTTATGCATGGTAATTTAAAGAGGACTGTACTGTATCCATCTTTTGTGTATTGGTAAATAAACAATAAGGGATAGTAAATTCCCCCCACCGAGGCCTAGTATTAAAGTCTTTGATTTTTATCCCATTCCTCCTCCCACGAGTTCGGAGCAGCGTTTATTGTCTTCATTTCGTCGTCATGTCAGCCTTGCGAGGTAGGTTAGGTGGAGAGGTAACAGTTAGCTCAAGGGTAACCGGGAAGCTTTATGGCCGAGCAGAGATTTGAACCTTGGTCTCTCAGCTCCCAGGTCAACGTTCTGACCACCGCACAGTTGCCAGCCTCCAGATGACATCTGGAGAAAAGGGCTGCTTTGGAGGGTGGACTCTATGGCATTCTACCCTGCTGAAGTGCTGTCCCTCCCTCCCACCCACCACCCACCCAATCTCCAGGTATTTCCCAACCCAGAGCTGGCAACTCTACCACCTCTGCCTGCCTAGTGTGGTGTTACACACAAAAGCTGGTCTCTGAATTTTGGAGGTAACCCCCTGCATCACATCCGAGATAACATTTTGGAGTAGGGAATTCCAGCCTGCCTGTCCTGTCAGGCCGAGGCAAGGGATAGGGAGGGAGGGTATTACTCCTAGAATGTAGCCCTGGGTAGACTTGCCAGACTCCCCAGTGGAGGTGGGGATCCCCTGCCACTCAGTCCTACCTCTAGTTGCTGATTAGTTGGCCAGTGGATGGGACTTAACAGGAGAAAGAAGACCTAGGAGTCATTCTCTGGTGTTGCACAGGACATGACGTCATCATTCTAGCAGGGATAGGGAGGGTATCACTCCTAGAATGTAGCCCCGGGTAGACTTGCCAGACTCCCCAGTGGAGGTGGGGGTCCCCTGCCACCCAGACCTACCTCTAGTTGCTGATTAGTTGGCCAGTGGATGGGATTTAACAGGAGAAAGGAGAAGGCCTAGGAGTCATTCTCTGGTGTTGCACAGGACATGACGTCATCATTCCAGCAGTGTCTAGGAAACACTCTGGTATTTGGGCAAAAACTCTATGGTAGAAGCTGTTATTTACCTGTGCAATGGGGGAGACAAGGTCTTTCTCTTTCTCCATGTAAGTCCGCCCCGCATCCCCTGCCAGTTGCCAGGAGGGACCTGGCAATCCTTGCCCTGGGGCTCCCCAGACCTGTTGAGCGTCAGAAACTTTGGGACCTTTGAGAAAGGACAGTGGGTAACACTACAAAATGTCAGCCACAAGAGGTAGGAGCAATCACAGAATGGCTGCCCTGAGAGGCGGGACTGATCACAAAATGGCTGCCACAAGAGTTGGGACTGATCATAAAAGGGCTGCGCTGAGAGGTGGGCTGACCACAAAAAATGGCTACCACAAGAGTTGGGACTGATCATAAAAGTGCTGCACTGAGAGGTGGGCTGATCACAAAATGGCTGCCACGGGCACTCACAAAATGCCGGGATGCTGCAAGCTGAGTATCCTTCTATGATGGAGGAAGCAGTTTCTGGACCCTTATTTGTAGTGGGTTAAAATGTAAAAATAAAGAAATTAAAGAAATCATTTTGACTCGGAAGCACCAAAGTTTTATGCAGTATCCCAGATCCTCCACGTTTCCCAGTTAAGGGAAAATGCTGTTCAAATTATAAAGATGATCTGACTCCAATGGTAACGAGAAAGAAATTTTACTTACAAAAACAGAAGCATATCTTACATGACCTATTCATGTAGGTACATTTATTGTGAACAGATTAACCTCAAAGAAGTTAAACTACCTCTGCTCATCTCTTGCCTTGAACGTCTCCTGGATGGGGGCTGCTATGAATCGATTGCAATGCGATGGCACGTTGTTCTTAAGTAAAAATGTGTGCTGTCTTGTCGCTGAGTTCACAGATGGGTCTTCTCCCCCCTCAGAATGACAGGTGAAAACCAACCCCAGTTATCTGTGACACACAGTGTTCCCTCTAAGCTGAGTTAGGGTGAGCTAGCGCACAGTTTTTTAGCCTTTGGCTCACACATTTTTGTCTTAGTTCAGGAAGGATGGCTTCAGAGCAAACTAATGTATGCAGTAGCCAAATTGCTCACTCACAGCTTTAATGCGAGTAGCTCACAAGGTAGATTTCTTGCTCACAAGACTCCAAAGCTTAGAGGGAGCATTGGACGCAGGTATTTTCCACTGGGGGACAGGCTTCCAGTTTCCCAGTTCCACAATGGTAATGGATAGCACATGGCAGGGTCTTCCTGTCATTTCCCTATCCTAGCCATGATCATTCTACCCAAAAGAGATTTTTTAAAAAACAAATTCATTATCATAATGCTATAGCAGCCTATGTATTAAATGCTCTGAATCCCAAGTTTTCAACTAAAATTTTTTTTAGTGCCTTTTGCTGCAGAGATATGCCTTTCTCCCTTGTTTCTCCACAACGGGCTAGAGAAAACAAAGCTGAGAATTCAAAGAACATGATATACAGATTGTTCTACCAATATAACAATATTCATTTGCCAATTTAAAAAAGCAAGACCCCTGGTGGCAGGGGGAGGGCATGACTGCTGCAGGGACAGGGGATGGGGAAATGGCTGCCGTGTGGGAAGAACTGGGAAAATCCAAACATTCCCACCCACATATCCTCCATTAAGGTTTGTGGTGCTCTTCCTAAAACGTCATACCAAAGCAAGTTGGGGAACAACTGGAGGAAAAAAGGGTGAGAAACTGGGAGGCACATGAACATACCGGGATTGTACTGAGGGGAAGCAGGCAAGAAAATCTCCCAATGACATTGAACCTGGGACATATCCCCCATGAAAGTTAGTCCCACTCCCACAAACCAGGATCCCAGCCCTGAATAATCTGGGTTGGAGCGGGAGGAAATCAGCTCCAGTTAGTACACACATGCCTGAACTGGTACGTCACAAATGACCAGAGTTAGATTTCAATGGAGGGCCTGTGGCTCAGCGTCAGAGCATCTGCTTGGCATGGCAAAAATGCCCAGGTTCAATCCCTACCTGCTCCAGTTAAAGACCAGGTAGGAGGTGATGTGAAAGCCCAAGAGCTGCTGCCAGTCTGAGTAGACAATACTGACCTTAACCAGGGGTCTGATTCAGTATAAGGCAGCTTCATGAGATTCTCCATATGAGGAGGAGGAGAGAGTGGATTTATGCACTCAGAGTGGTTTACAATCTCCTGCCCTCCTCTCCCCACGACAGACGCCCTGCGAGGTAGGTGGGGCTGAAAGCTCTTTCGACAACTGCTCTTGAGAGAACAGCTCTGAGAGAACTGTGACTGACCAAAGGTCACACCAGCTGGCTGCATGTGCAGAAGTGGGGAATCAAACCCAGTTTTCCAGATTAGAGTCCGCCACTCTTAATACCTCATCTTTCTTCCCAGCGGGGGACCCGCAGTGGCTTACATCATTCCCCTCTCCTTCCTTTTATACTCACAACAACCCTGTGAAGTAGGTTAGGCTGAGAGAGTGTGGCTGCATGTGCAGAAGAGGGGAATCAAACCCAGTTTTCCAGATTAGAGTCCGCCACTCTTAATACCTCATCTTTCTTCCCAGCGGGGGACCCGCAGTGGCTTACATCATTCCCCTCTCCTTCCTTTTATACTCACAACAACCCTGTGAAGTAGGGTAGGCTGAGAGAGTGCGACTGGCCCCAGTTCACACAGCAACCTAGCTTAAATGGGGTCAGTTCCAATGAGGGAAAACCCTCCTCTCATTGCATGGGCCTGAACTGAGATCCCATGCGGCTGTAATTTAGTTTGGAAAAATTCTGAAATCAAAATCAGAGGTCCCAGTTGTTCCAATAGGACCTATCATGAGTCAAAGGTAACTTCTTCCAGCTTGGGGATGGTGGATTTTAGGGAGGGGAGGGAGTTCAGCTGGGATGAGATGCCACAGACTCCGTCCTCCATTACCACTTCTTCCAGGACAAAGCTGGAGTCCAGTGGCACCTTTAAGACCAGCATAGTTTTTATTCTAAGAACATAAGAGAAGCCATGATGGATCAGGCCCAATGGCCCATCGAGTCCAGCACCCTGTGTCACACAGGGGCCAAAACCCAGGTGCCATCAGGAGGTCCACCAGCGGGGCCAGAACTCCAGAAGCCCCTCCCACTGTGGCCCCCCAAGCACCAAGAATACAGAGCATCACTTGCCCCAGCCTGAGAGTTCCTATCTATACCTTGTGGTTAACAGCCACTGATGGACCTCTGCTCCAGATGTTTCTCCAATCCCCTCTTGAATATGTCTATGCCTGTAGCCACTACCACTTTCTGAGGCAGGGAATTCCGCATGGATATACGCTTTCATGTGCAGGCACACTTCTTCAGATACGTCTTCAGTGTGCCTGCACATGAAAGCTAACCCCAGAATAAAACTTTTGTTTGGTCCTAAAGGTGCCACTGGATTTAAACTTGTTTTGCCACTTCAGACCACCACATCTGCCCACCTGAATCTATAATTACTTCTCAGGGAACTGATCGCTGCAGTCTGGCAATCCGAATGAAAAGGTGAAACTTTTTTTCTGGACCCAAAAACCACCGATCTGATGTACGATGGCACCTTGATCTTCTTGCTCTGCAACTCTGAGCCACAATCTCAGCCTCACCCGCCTCACAGGGTTGTTGTGAGGCTAGGACCACCGCGCCCTTCTCTGAGCCGCTTGGAGAAAAGATGGGGAGAAAAAAACGCGCCAGCGATAACTCTGCCCCACCTCTAGCACCACCCAAAGAAAGAAAATCGAGCTCGCCCGTTTTTAATGTGACACTTTGAGTTGGGGCGTTGCGGCAAATTCAGGGCTCTTTTTGTAGCAGGAACTCCTTTATAAATTTCCCCAGCCTATTCGAGCTACTGCATTCCCCCCCTCCACTGTGGTTGCCAAGGTCCAGGTGGGGCCTGGGGATCCCCCGGAATTACGGCTGAACTCCAAAGACCAGCTTCCCCGGAGAAAACGGCTGCTTTGGAGGATGTGGCCTCTATGGCATTATACTCTCCTGAGGTCCGTCCCCTCCCCAAACCCTGCCCTCCCAAGGCTCCATTCCTGAACTCCCCACCCCGGAGCTGGCGACCCTACCCTCCACCGTTGCCCTCCCCCGCTATGGGTCGCTGCTCTCCGAGCAGCAAGCCCAACTGCCGCTTACAGAGAAAGCCGGCCGGGCTAGAAGGCAAAAGGGGAGGAACGACACAGGAAGTGCAACTCGTTATTGGCTCCCCCCAGCCCTAAAGTGTAGCCTCTCTAGGTACCCGATCTCTCTGGCCAGCGGAAGTAGTGCTGCGGGGAGAAGCCAGAGCGCTCGGAGGCTGGCCGCTGCCTGCTCTTTTCCAGCGTCATTCTCCTCTTTTGCGCGCGGAGAAGGAAGGGCGCCGCTGAGCACGTCATCGGCGGCGACCCGGAGGTATCCACGTGCAATGCGGGATACTGGATTCATGACCGAGTTCTTCGTGAGCAGAAGAAAGAAGGGCTTTCGAGAGGAGGGAAAGATGAGTTCAAGAGAGGCGAAGAGGCTTTAGAAAACAGGGCACGGCGTGGAGGAAGTCGCTCGAGTGAACCTTCGTCAGCTTCCTGGAGCCAGGATTGCGGGTCGCCCGGTCTACAAAGGGGTTCACTTACCGCAGCGAACGGAACTCACCGCCACAAGGTGTAGCGAAGGCCGTTAGCGGCACGGGTCTCTAAGGGGGGCAGGGAAATTGGCGGAGCGGGCGCTGGGTGAGAGAGCGAAATGGAACGTCTGTGTTCAGGGGTGGTCTGTCTCTGTGAACGCTAGTTGCGGCGGGGTGGGGAGACGGAGGGCAGGGGAAGCACTGGCGCTGAGAGGATTCGCCGGGCTGTTTTCATCGCCACGGTGGATGCAGAGGCATGCGTGTGGACAACAAAGCTTTCACATACTGAGGTACTGGGCACATTTATTCTGTCTTCCATCTTTCCCCCCTGAGACGCTTGCCTTCTTCACATGCTCCACACCAACTCATATTGGCCCTAGAGTTTGGTGTAGTGGTTAAGTGTGCGGACTCTAATCTGGGAGAACCGGGTTTGATTCCCCACTCCTCCACTTGCACCTGCTGATGTGACCTTGGGTCAGTCACAAGCTCTGGCACAGCTGTCCTTGAAAAAGAGCAGTTTGTGTCAGAGTTCTCTCAGCCCCACCCACCTCACAGGGTGTCTGTTGTGGGGAGGGGAAGGGAAAGCCCTTCCACCTTATCCCTGCCACAAGAAGTCTGGGAGGCAAGAGAGGCCAAGAGTTTGTGATGGGCCCAAGGTCACCTGTGACAGGCTTCCATGGCAGAGTGGGGATTCGAAACCCACTCTCTGAGGCCTACGTTTGCTGCTTTAACTACTATGCCATGCCAGCTACACCTGGAGTATTCCTCTGCCTGAAACACTGCCTGCTTTGTTTCCATTTTACCCAGCACGTGGGGAAAATCTCTGCACTGTGCAGTTGGGAATCATCAGCGGCACGTTTAGGTCCCGTCCCCTGGAGCCTGAAACGTTGGCAAAGTGTGGCGAATCCTTCCAGTTGACCTGCAGGCCGTAGCTCAGTGGTAAAGGATTTGCTTGGCATGCAGAACGTCCCAGGTTCAGCCCCTGGTATCTCCAGTTAAAAGGATCGGTTGAGAAGCGATGTGAAAGACTTCCATTTGAGACCCTCTGAGAGTGGCCACCAGACCGTGATAGACTGATGGTCTGATTCTGTAGAAGCCAGTTTCGTGTGTGTGTTTGTGCAACCTTTAAAGCATGGATGGAGAAAGTGCGTGGTCGGAGGCCAGCGGCCAAGCCAAGATATCCCCTCTCCTCAGTTTCTACCGATTGTTGCTGGATGTCATGCTCTGTGCTCTGAGGAGCAGCTTGGACCTTTGTCTGGTGCTTCTGCGTCACCAACACGAGAGGCGGAAAAGATCTCGGGAATGGATTGCCTCCTACCGCAAGGTTCTCCGCAGCAAGGGGAGAAGACGTCCCCGTTACGCTGCCAGGTTTCCCCGGAAACGCCTGGTCAGGCCGCACTGGTATGCCCTTGCTGAAGTGGGTAACCCCCGTCGCTGGTGGGTGTACCCCTGCCGCAAGCACTGGTGGGAGAAGTTTGTCGCGGAAGTCTGGGATGCCGATAGGTGGATCGAGAACTTCCGCATGAGCCGAGGGACGCTGTTCAGCATCGTGGAGGTCCTCAGGCCGCGGATCGAGCGCCAGCGCACGGTCATGAGGGCACCGATAGCGACGGAGAAGAGGGTCGCAATCACGGTGTGGTGGCTCGCCAACAAGGAGTGCTACCGCATTGTGGGCCAGCAGTTTGGTGTTGCCCGGTCTACTGTGGCGGAGATAGTCTTGGAGGTGTGCTTCGCGATAGATGTTGACCTCCTTCGTAAGACTGTGTGCCTTGGTGAGGTGGATAAGGTAAGACTGCCATCGCATCACTGTTGGTGCTCCTGGGGCTTTTCCTAAATCTGGAGTCCCCCCCCCATTTTTTTCCTTCCATTAACTGCTATAACAATACAGTGTGTCCAAAATGGCTGCACTTCATAACCCGTGGGTGATGATCAGACACAGGGCTTTTCCCATGGTGACACCTTGCCTGTGGAGGATCCATCCCCTTGAGGCTTGCCTGGCCCTTACCCCTGATGTCTTTCAGGTACCATGCCAATACTTACTCAAGCTTCTAACTAAGGGGTTTGATCATTTTAATTGTTTTAAAGTCTTCTGGCCTGAAGACTGATAGGATCGTTTGAGGCTGGCAAACATTTTGTGCTCTAGGTTTTTAAATGTGTGTGTGATGGTTTTGTTGTTGTTCAGTCGCACCAGGCCCTCCTGTCTTCCGTCATGCTCCGGATTTTGCTTAATTTCATGTTTGTTGCCTCGATAACACTGTCTAACCATCTCATCCTTTGCCGTCCCCGTCTTCTTTGACCTTCAATCTTTCCCAGCCTCAGGGTCTTCTCCAGTGAGTGCTCCCTTCTCATTGGGTGGCCAAAGTATTTGAGCTTCAGCTTCAGTATCTGGCCTTCCAGGGAACAGTTAGGGTTGATTTCTTTTAGGATTGACTGATTTGATCTCCTTGCAGTCCAAGGGACTATCAGCGCTCGGTGTGTGATGGTACCTTTCTCTTATTTTGTGTGGTTAGGTGTGATGTAGTTCTAAATGGTTTGTTGTTTCTTTCTCTCACTCAAAGTATTTATCGTTGCCACCAGGAATTTAATTCCAGTCTTTAACTAACCTTTCCCAGAGTGTTGTGCCCAAGCTCTAAGACTCCTTCATTGGACTACGTGGTTCTGAGGATAAGACTCTGGGTTAACACTAAACAAGATAAAACTTTATTGGTAGAAGAAGTGTTTTGGTTACAATATGTTTTTGTTAAGATGCTCAGTAAAATCTTTCACTTTTTACTCAGGTCTCTGACTAACTCAAGCAAACTGACATCAGAGGCATGCGCGATTACAACTGGCAAGAACAAGCAGTCACTGCAGTATAATTGCCTGTCAGCATTTAGCATTTTACCCATTTAGAACCTTAATGCCTATCACAGCACCTCTATATGATTCCAACTGGAAAACTGCTTCTCAGACTCTGTGTAGATTGACCACAACTGACAGCTACTGCCTGCTGACTTCAAAGTTCTAACTTCAAACTGAACACTCCGCCTTCTCTCTCTCTCTCTCTCTCTCTCTCTCTCTCTCTCTCTCTCTCTCCACACACCCACCCTAGCTCCACCCGCACACATTCCGTCACCAACCAATCACCTCACTCACTCGTCTCCCTCGTACACTCCCCTTGTTCTTCTGACACTTACCAACCATTTAAAGAAACACACACATATAACTTGAACTCATTACAGTGTGTTTATGCTCCGGGTTTTTACTGGTTGGGTTTTTAATGCTTCGATAATCGGAATGCTATATATATATTTTGGTTTTGCCTGTGTACACAAAACGTGTGCATGTACACAAAAGCTTCTACCCTGAATAAATCTCTGTCGGTCTTAAAGGTGCCCCCCTGGACTCAGAGTCTGTTCTGTCCTGCTCAGAGTGTGTTTGGCATGTAGATTTATCCTTTTCCCATTATCTTCTCTAAGGGTGTGAAGCAGTATCAGCAGCTGATTTGTGGTGACCCCTCACGGGGCTTTCAGGGCAAGAGATGAGCAGAGGTCTGGTTTGCCATTGCTGGCCTCTCCGCAGCAACCCTAGACTTCATTGGTGGCTTCTCATCCAAGTACGGACCAGGGCCGGCCCTGCTCAGCTTCCAAGATCTGACCAGCTCGGACTATTCTGGGTTATCCCAGTCAGGGCTGTCATTCTCTCTGTTTTGTAAATAGAGGCACGTAGGCTAGTGGGTGATGTTCCTCTGCACATTTTGGTTTTGGTTTCTTCACGTGTCCCACTTATGGAAAAATAAGACGGTTGCCCCACGCGCCCAATTTCATGCATGGCGTTCCTAGAGCATGAGGGGAATTGGCATGCTCAATTTCCCTCTTCTGTAGTCCATAAAGGACTGGGTCTGCCACAGCTGGTGTCTGTAGGGATGTTCCCTTTACCGGCTTCTGCTGCCTTTTCAGCCTGGCTTCTCTCTCCCCTTTTCCTGCTCAGATCATGGACGGCTTCGGACACCTGGGCTTTCCGCACTGCATCGGGGCGCTCGGCGAGACCCTCATCCCCATCAGAGCCCCGCTTCGACAGGCCGAAGAGTACAGGAAGCAGCTTTGCTCCGTCCTCCTTCAGGGGATAACGGACCACACCGGTCGCTTCATCGACGTGGAGGTTGGATGGAGCAGCCTTAATCACGATGCCCACATCTTCAGGAACTCCTCCGTCTGCGCAGCTATGGATGCTGGAGCTTTCGTGCCCGGGAATCCGACAATCGCCATTGGGGGCGTGCAAGTTCCGCCTTTGATTGTGACCAGGGGGTGCTATCCGATGCGGCGCTGGCTTATGAAGCCCTACAGGGACCCTGACGACAGCCGTCGGTCCCTCTTCGATGACCGCCTCGGCAAGGCCCACAGTGTGGTTGAGTGTGCCTTCCGGCGACTCAGGGCCCGCTGGCGGTGCATGACGGTGCTCCCTGTGACTGAGGAGAATGCCACAGCGGTGGTGATGGCCTGTGTGATCCTGCACAACATCTGTGAGGAGAGAGGGCACGTTGTCCAAGGAGACTTGTGCGAGACACAGGCTGTGCTTTCCCCAGCAGACGAAGGAACATATCAGTGCAGTGACGACGACTGCTGTTCTGCAGCAGGGAACAGCGTGCGGGACGCCATCTCCACATTCATGCAGACGCCTCAGACTGGGCCGTGAGCTCCAGGTTTGACATTAGCTTTACTTTCTCATATTTTTATCTATTATTTTATTTAGGTTATTTATAGTCTGCCTTTCTTGCTGAGACTCACGACTGATTACATAGTTTTTGCACCTGCCTCTTTAAAGGAGATCGCCCCCCCCCCCAAATATCTGCTTGTGGGTCTCTAGATATAGGGAGGAAGAACATAAGAAGAGCTCTGCTGGATCAGTATAGGGAGGAAGAACATAAGAACATAAGAAGAGCTCTGCTGGATCAGATTAATGGTCCCTCTAGTCCAGCATCCAATCTCATACAGTAGGCAAGCCAGTTCCTCTGGACGGCCAACAGCAGGGCATTGAGGCCTTCCCTCCATGTTGCCTCCTGGTTCTGGGATTCTCTGAACATGGAGGTTCCCCTCAGCCACCATGGCTACTAGCCATTGACAGACTTATCCTCCATGAATCTGTCTAATCTCCTTTTAAAGCTGTTTATTCCTGTGGCCATCGCTACATCCCCTGGCGGCAAATGCCACATGTTGCTCACTCTCTGTGCGAAGTAATATATTTTTTTGTCTGTCCTGAACCTACTGCCCATCAGCTTCATTGGATGCCCTCGAGTTCTAGTCTTTTGGGAGAGGGAGAAAAATTTCTCCTTGTCCACTCTGTCCACCCTGGGCATAATGGTACAAACCTCTACCATATCCCCTCCCCTTACGCATCTCTTTTCTAAACTGAAAAGCCCCAGACTCTTCAGCCTCTCCTCCAATCAATGCTCCCTCTAAGCTGTGGAGTCTTGTGAGCAAAAATTCTACATTGTGAGCTACTGGCATTATACATTGTGAGCTCCTGGCATTAAAGCTGTGAGCAAGGGATGTGGCTCCTGCATCGATTCGTTTGGGCTGGAGCCATCTTTCCCGAGCTAAGACAGAAACGTGTGAGCCAGAGGGCTAAAAAACTGTGAGTTAGCGCATACTAACTCAGCTTAGAGGGCACACTGGCTCCAACCCCCTAGTCAAGGGAGGAGTGCCCCCCTGCCCATCCGTAGCTGGTGGCTGTGGGAGTCTTCTCTGCTTATACGACAGGTCAGGAGCTTGGATCCAGTTGGATGCTTCCCCAAATAGAAGGATTGCCATCTATGGAGCACCAAACACCCCCCCCCCCCATACTATTCCCAGGGCTTCCCG